TGTTATCTGTAACCCCCCGCCCTTTGTGTAACTTTCTAGGCTAAAAGCTGGGCTGCAGGAAAGCTGTGGGGCTGTCTTGCTCCCGAAGTTTTTGGTAGGAGAGGTAGCCCGCCGGTCGAAATAATAAGCTTGCTTTAATTTTATTTTAATTGGAGTCAGTGGTCTTTTCTTTGTGTCTTGGTCTAACAGTTCAATGCCAGCCTCAGCAGACTCTTGATCATTACTTCATACCATAAACAAAGACTGAAACTGGATCACAGATCTAAACATTAAAACTTTAAGAGCTTTAGAATTAAACAATAGGCTAATGCTTTAAAACACTGAGGTGGGCATGCATTTCTTAGAAACAATGCAAAATAGTAATCACAAATGAAGGTGATATTGGATTTCATCAAAAGTTAAAACTGCTTTTTGAAAACAACATCAAAAAACTGAGAGAGGGCTGGGGTTGTGGCTCAGCAGTAGAGCACTCACCTAGCACATGCGAGGCCCTGGGTTCGATCCTTAGCATTACATAAAATAAATAAATAAAATAAAGATATTGTGTCCAACTACAACTAAAGAAATATTTAAGAAACACACTGAGAGAAGGCCTGGAGTTGTGATTCAATGGTAGAGCGCTTACCTAACACATGTGGGGCACTGGGTTCAATTCTCAGAACTACATGTAAGTAAATAAATAAAGGCCCATCAACAACTAATAAAAATACTTTTTAAAAAAACTGAGAGGAGCCAGGTGCATTTGTGCATCCCCTTGTTTCAGAAGAATCACAAGTTGGAAGCCAGCTTCCCTACCTTAGGGAGGTTCTGTCTCAAAATGAAATATTAAGAAGGGCTGGGAATGTGTCTCTGTGATAGAGCCTAGCATGTGCAAGGCCCTAGGTTCAATCCCCAGTACAGCCAAAAATAAATAAATAAATGTGCTCCAGGCAGGGAGAAAATATTTTCAACATATGTATGTATATATATATATTTTTTAATTTTTTAATCCATTCTAAGTTGTTATACATGACAGCAGAATGCATTTCAATTCCTATTATACATATAGAGCACAATTTTTCATGTTTCTGGTTGTACATATAGTAGATTCACACCATTTGTGTCTTCCTACATATACTTAGGGTAATGATGTTCATCTCATTCCACCATCTTTCTTACCTCCATACCCCTTCCCTTTTCTCCCTCGCTTTTGCTGTAAAGTTCTTCCATTCCTCCCATGCTTCCCCCCATCTCTATAATGGATCAGCATCCATATATCAGAGGAAACATTTGGCATTTGTCGGGGGGGATTGGCTTACTTGACTTAGCATAATATTCTCCAATTTCATCCATTTACCTGCAAATGCCATGATTTTATTCTCTTTTAATGCAGAGTAGTATTGAATTGTGTACATATACCACATTTTCTTTATTCATTCATCTACTGAAGGGCATCTAGGTTGGTTCCACAATTTAGCTATTGTGAATTGTATTGCTGTAAATACTGATATGGCTGCATCACTGTAGTATGCTGTTTTTAAGTCCTTTGGGTATAAACTGAGGAGTGGGATAGCTGGGTTAGATGACGGTTCCATTCCAAGTTTGCCAAGTAATCTCCATACAGTTTTCCATATTGGTTGCAACAATTTACTGTCCCACCAGCAATGTATGAGTGTGCCTTTTCCCCCACATCCTTGCCAACACTTATTGTTGTTTGTTTTTTATGCATATTATGTATTTATTCAAAATAAATAAAAACGCTACCCAATATAAGACAAGCAACCAATTTTAAAACTGAAAATAAAATTGACACGACTTTAAGAATGATAAATAAGGGCATGAGATTATGCTGAAATTAATAGTCATCAGGAAATGCAGATCAAAATCGCAATTTGATACCACTTTTCATCCTCTAGATAATGAAAACTCTAAAGATTGACAGTAGAAAGTGTTGAAGGGGATGGTCCATGCCTATAATCCCAGCAGCTTGGGAGGCTAAGACAAGAGGATTGAGAGTTCAGAGCCAGCCTCAGCAACTTAGCAAAGGCCTAAGCAACTCATCAAGCTCAGTCTCTAAATAAAATATTCAAAAGGGCTGGGGATGTGCTCAGTGGTAGAGTGCCACTGGGTTCAATCCTTGCTACCAGAAAAAGAAAAGAAAGATGTATTGAAAGGAAATGAAATAGCTAGATGTTTCATACAGTACTGGTGAGAATATAAATGGTATAACCACTTAGCAAAGCAGACTGGCAGTTTCTTGCAAAATTAAATATGTACTTATACGACCCACCAATTACTCTACTACATATTTCCTAACATAAGTGAAGGCATAATTGTTCACATAAAGACTTGAACACAAACACTTATATCAATTTTATTCACATCAACCAATCTGGAAACAACCTAAATATGCATAAACACATGAATTGATGTACAAACACATGCATTCATAAAATAAAATATTATTCAGCAACAAAAAGAAATACTGTTATAGAAAAGAGCATAGATGAATCTTTTCAAAAACATCATGCTGAGAGACAGATGCCAGATCAAAAAAGTACACCTACTGTGTGATTCTATTGGTGACTCTGTGGGCTCTTGTGCTGTTAGAAGAATCAAAGGTGGACTGGCACAGAACAAGGCTTTTTATTCTCAAACTTGAGTACAAAGAGAGGCAGCACATAAGGGACAGAAACTCCAGGCTGGCTCAAACAAAGGACAAAGCTGTACAGAATTTTTATTTAATTTAATTAATTAATTTATTTTTGGTACTGGGGCTTGAACCCGGGGTACCCTTTTCATTTTTTATTTCGAAACAGGGTCTCATTAAGTTGCTTAGGGCCTTGCTAAGTTGCTGAGGCTGGCTTTAAACTTCTGATACTCCTGTCTCAGCCTCCTGAGCCGCTGGGATAGCCATCCCAACTGTGCCTGGCAAGATTGGTGTACTTTTTAAGCCCCCATTTATGGTATCTCTGTTAACCCCATAAGACTAAGGACTGTCTTCATCTCAGTTTCACTTATATGGAACTCTAGATAAGCAAGACTCATAGACAGGACTACTCTATAGTGGCAGAATATAAATTAGTGGATGCTTCACCTGGGTAGAAGGAATAGGCCATGATTGAAGAAAGTCATAGGAACATTGGGGGCAAATTGGATAAAAATAGTCTATAGCTTGATTATGATGGTTTAACATTTGTTAAACCTTATCAAACAATTCACTTAAAAATATGTGCATTTTATTGTATTTAAGTGAAGCTCAACAAAGTGTTGTTTGTTTTTGTGGTACTGGAGATTGAACCCAAGGGCATTCTACCCCTGAGTGACACTCCCAGCCCTTTTTATTTTTTATTTCCTTTTAAATTTTTTGTTTTGGGACATGCTCTTGCTAAGTTGTTGAGGGTCTCACTAATACCCTGAGGCTGAGGCCTCCAACTTGAGATTTTGAGTCACTGTAATTACACGTATGTGTCACCATACCCAGCAGTAAAGTTGATTTTTAAAAAATGAAACAGACCCACCCACTTTTGAAATAAAAAGCTCCAAACTTTTAGCTTTTGAACATCCTCATACTGAGGAAAGATAGGAAGAAAATAACACCAACAAGTTCTCAGATGTAGAGCTTAACTAAATCTACATATGCATATCAACTGATGTTTTTCTTATAAATTGGAGCAGCTTCTATAGGACCAGCAGAGAAACAATCCAGCTGCTTCTCTCCGGTTTAATCAAACTGTATAAAATTATTTTTTTTCCATTTTCCATTGTCTATTTCTTATAAAGGTGGTTGGCTGAACACTACAAGCAACCCTGGATGCAAGCAGTTCCCAGGCTAGGCTGCAGGTAGCAAAAACACTTGCTGGCATGGTGGCACATACTATAGTGCCAGCTACTCTGGCAGTTAAGAGGGGAGAATCACTTGAGCCCAGGAGTTCAAGATTAGCCAGGGCAACACAGTGTAACAGGGTCTGTTTCAAGCCTTGAACATAAACTTTGCTGCTCTACTACTGTTGCTTATTTTGTTTTATTTTTATTTTTTGGTTGTAGTTGGATACAGTACCTTTATTTCACTTATTTATTTTTATGTGGTGCTGAGGATGGAACCCAGGGTCTCGCACATGCTAGGCGAGTGCTCTACCGCTGAGCCACAACCCCAGCCCTTGTTACTTTAAAACTGATATTTTTCCCCTCTTCTTTTTTTTTTTTTCTCTCTCCCACCCTAAGCTTGGGGAAAACAAGCCTGCAAAATGAACTATGTCTTTGACAGGGCACAGCTAGAAAGTAGCCTTTCAATCATTTCTCTAAAAGCCCTGTCAGAATCACAGCCTCGCGGACTGGAGTCCCCTGTGTTTCTTCTTTGCTGGCAAAGCAATAAAACTTTTTCCTTTTTCTCAAAACCTTGTCCTCATTATTGGATTAGCATTGCGGACAAGAATGGGGATTTCCTTAAAGAGAGCTGACCCCTGTCTCAAACACATGCACACACAGAAATAATTCGCAAACCATTAAATAAGCTCTTTGAAGGTGTACAATTTGATTTGTTTTGGTATTTTACAGAGTTAAGCAAACATCATTATTATCCATTTCAAGAGTATTTTAATCCCTCCCTCAAAGAAGCCCCATATCTATCATCAATCACAATGTCCCCTAGCTCTGCAGTCCTTAATACCTAATATACTCCGTGTTTGTATTTATTTGCCTAGTCTGGATAATTCCATACAAATGGAATCGTATATCCTATACTATGGCTCAGCTTATCACCCTAGGAATGCAAAATTGGAGATTCTGTGAGCCACCCTGAGACTTCGGAGTTGGTTACAACTCCTAGAAAGGTTCAGGACCCAGGTAATGTCGGTCTTCACCGTCAGCAGCTCAGCTGAGAAAGCCTGCAAAAGCAACTTTTTCTCCTCTTGGCCCTGTGCCTTATGTTTTCCGGCGCTTGACTACATTTCCCAGAAGTTCTTGCGGCTCCACTCATTTCCATCTGAACAGTTTCCAGGGAGCAACCTGAGGTTGGCCTGTGCATTTGAGGAATCTTGTGGACAGGATGGCTGTCCGGCTTTGTATGGGCTACCTTGAAGTCTACCTTGAAGACTTCCTAACCACCACGGAGACGCAGGGCCACACTCCGGCGGTGCAAGGGGAGGAGTTAGAGGATGGGCGTCATCTTCCCCACGAGGGGCGCTTGCGGACTACATTTCCCAGAGACCCCCGCGAGGACGGGGCGGCCGCTTCATTTGCCTGCGGGACCCTCGGCCTCCAGGGCAGGGAAAGTGCGCAGCGAGCGGCCTAGGCACCCGGGGCCCCACTAGGCTGCGCAGGAACTTCCCTGGGCGTCTGAAGGGACATTCCTGGTAGGTCTGGGATGTCAGGAACTTGGGACTAGCTCTGGCCAGGGGAGCGGTCGCGAGGTGTGGGCCTCTGGGTGTGGTTGTGACCTTATGTGACTGTGGGGCGCAGTGTGTGTGCGCGGATGTGATTTTATGTTCCTCTGGTGGGTGTGTCGTTGTGACTGACCGTGCGCAGAGCTGTGTGTGCCTGTGTGACTGCACATTCCTGTAGTTTTGTTAACAATGTGATCGTGTCCCCGAGGTTGGACTGATTGTGTGTGACCTTATTCACTTTGTGTGACATGTGGATGTGGGGGTGGGCGTGGAGAATCTGCTTTTGCATCTGTGACTGTTACTCTGAGAGGTTTGTGTGCGTCATTGTATGAATGTTAGAACCACTCCGTGTACTGGATGCCTGTGACTATGTGAGAATGTGTGAAAGTGATTATGTAACTGTGTGTGGCCCTGTGATGCTTGTGCCAGGGTAACAGATACATGGCCATTGTGTTATTTTGAATGTATGATTGTGTGTAGTGCCCAGTAGGAGAACTGGAGGGAATTGTGGCTGCGTGGCTCTAGTGAATGTGACAGTGAGTGACTCTGTAGCGCGGTATGATTTTGTGTGGTGTTGTGTTGGAGGGGTCTGTTAATGTGTGGATGTGATTGTGTATCCTTAGGATAGACTGTGTGTGAGCACATGTACTGGTATTATTTGGGTGATGTGTTCCTGAGAGGGCAGATGGGGTTCACCTATAGTGGATAAGTGACTGCAGCATTGGAAATGTAGGTGTGGAGTGCCTGTGATTCCAACTTTCTATCCTAAAAGATCCTTGTGAGTTCAGGACAAATTCTGATCTTGGACAACTTAGATTTTACTCCTCTTCTCAAACCAGAATGCTCAGGATAGCCCAGATTCCTCTGACCTCCCTCTTTTTTCTTCTTTCCATCGTGGTAGTTGTGGGTTCAGAGTGAGCTCTAATCAGGTCAGTCTAAATCACACACACACAAAATGCCTGGCATCTCATAATTCTTTTTTTCTTACTCATCTCAGCCTTTCCAGAGGTACCCAGAGGAAGAAAGAGAAATAGTTGTTGATCAAGCCAAATATAAGGTGCACTGGGGTTTGAGTTTTGCTTTTCTTCTTTTTTGACTTAACATAGACTCATTAAGTGTCCTGGTTCTCAAATTTTTTCCATCTGAGAAAATGATGGGAAACCATGGGGTGGATGTATAGATTCCATTTTTCTCCCTGACTTTCTTCTACATAATGTTCACATATTAATTTAGAAAATAGGTAAGGTTTTTCCTGGTACTAAGTTGTTTTTAAGCACATATACACACCTGAAGCAAGATTATTTTTAAAAATTTGGAAAATAGGAAGTTACAAAGGGCAAAAGAATGCCTGCCCCCTAAAAATAACCACTGCCAATATTTTGATCTATTTCCTTCTTATAAATTTCCCATGTATGTATAGTATACATCATTCTTAAAAATTGTTGTAGATGGACACAATACCTTTATTTTATTTATCTTTTTATTTATTTTTTATTTTTTTATGTGGTGCTGAGGATCAAACCCAGTGCCTTACATGTGCTAGGTGAGCACTCTGTCACTGAGCCACAACCCCAGCCCCAAGGGTTAGGTTCTTTTTAAAAAGGTATCCATGGGCTGGGGTTGTAGCTCAGTGGTAGAGCACTTGCCTAGCATGTGTGAAGCACTGGGTTCAATTCTCAGCACCACATATAAATAAATAAAGGTCCATCGACAACTAAAAAAATAACAGTTATAAAAAAAAGCTATCCTGACTCAACTTCATTACTCATTAGGAAAATACAAATCAAAACCAAAGTGAGATAACCACTGTACAGCTACCAGGATGACAATTAAAAAAAGGCAATAGAGTTGATGAGCATTTGGGGAAATTGCACTTTAGAAAACAGTTTGGCAGTTATGAAAAAGTTACATAATTACCATATAATTCTACTCCTAGTTATATGTCCAAGAGAATTGAAAACATATTCACATAAAAACTTGTACCTGAAATTGCATGGAAATGAAGGGAGACCCTCATTGCTATACAAAATTACATATAAGAGGTTGTGAGGGGAATGGGAAAATAAACAAGGAGAGAAAT